GAACATGGGACGCAAGTGGCCAAGTTGCCCGATTCAGGCCGACTTCTCTCTGCGTTTTCGGGACCCACCGACATCCAATCGCCGCCCAATCCGCTCAGGGCGTTGCAGGCTTGACCATGGGCCTGGGCTTGAGCCCATTTCGCCTCTCCCACGCGGCCTAAAACACCCCCAAAGCTTGGAGTTAGCCAGTTTCGGCCAAAGGAAGAAGAAAAGAGAAAGAGAAGAAAAGGGAGAGAAAGAAGGAGAGCCACTGCGAGGGAAGCTCGGGGAAGCAAAGGGGGACATCCCTAGTAGGTCTAGAAGAGGTTTCCGGTGAGAAACAGACCGGAAAACTGCAACAAATCTGGCCAAAACCATATCTGAGCCGAAACAGAGGTGAGTGGCTCGAGATCCATCTGTGTGAGCTCATTCTGAGCGTGCTATTGTGTCATTTCGATGATTGGTTTGTTTAGATAGAGGACACTTCAATGAGCATGTAGCAACTTACAGAACTGAATTTGGTTGAGAAACGAGGTAGAAATGGCCAAGCAAAGTCGGACCAGAGGCCTGTTTTCGCGAGGAAGACGAAGTCCAGGCCTCAGACCGACCGGTCTGGGCATAGACCGTCCGGTCTGGACTCGCGAACACCGAAACCCTAAATAGGGCTAGACCGACCGGTCCAGATACTGGCCCGACCGATCTAGGTCTTAGAACCCCCCTTTCAGCTAATTTTCCGATTTATCCCATGCGGTGAGTTGTGCGATTCAACGATGAGAGTGACTCATTGCGTGATTATTCTGGGTAGTTTGTTTGGTGTTAACCGGTATATCGGTCGGGGCCGAATACCGCGATACGCGTGATTGTATTGGGAAGATATGCACGTTGATTGCCATGTTTGTAGCTCACTCGTGCGACGAGTGCAGCATGATTGTGTTTGTGATATAGTCGTGTGCGACACGACGGCCAACGTCATGGACTTGACGGGCGTGCGAGACGCCGTCCATGACTAGGGCTATGGCAGAACCCTATGGTGGACTACATACGGGTGTTGGGTTTATTGTGTCATGGACTTGACACGGCCAACGTCATGGACTTGACGGGCGTGTGAGACGCCTCTAGTCATGGACTTGACTAGGGTTATGGCTGGACCCTATGGTGGACTCCGTACGGGTGTGTTTGTATTTCCGTTGTGTCATGGACTTGGCATCGGAGGTCACGCGAGTGACAGGCGCAGGAGACGCGCGTAGTCGCATGTGATGCGATGGCCAACGTCACGCGAGTGACGGGCGTGTGTGAGACGCTTCTAGTCATGTTGATATGACTAGGATCTTTGGCTAACCCTATGATGCGATGTCATATGGGTATGATTGTGTTTGACAGATTTGTGACTGATGTGATGTGGTTATGCATGGATATCAATGTTGTTTGATGGTTGTGAATTATCGAATTAACACCGTTCTCGCTGAGAACGGGTTTACCGGGTTCAACCCGGGCTACTCACTAAGCAGTTGTGCTTAGCCCTCGTGGTTTATATTTTTTCAGATCACGAGGATTACGCCTAGCGCATCCGGCAGATGACGACCTGAGAGAGGCAGCATCATGTATGGGATTTATATTTTGGGTTACGGGACTTGTATTTCCCGCTTTTTGTACGGTTAAACTATAACTATTCGGACATGTGTTATTTTGCGACACTGATCGTCTGTTGTATTTTCCGTTGCTTACTCTGGTTTGATTAAAAATATTTTTGAATTTCGTATTTTTGCTCCGCATTATTATTTTATTACTATTTGTCCATGTGGCACATTCCGTATACTGTACACGGGTTACGGGTGTCACATCGTCAACCGATACTGTTGTAGGAGTATCCACCCAAAACCACCGGTACTGACACCGTTCGTCTACCGGCACTAGTTCCACAACATATTTCTATAATAGTATTGACTCCACTTCAACCTGTACTATCATAGAATATCCACACAATCCACCAGTATTGACTCAATTCGTTAACCGGTACTGGATACACTTTCCTTTTTTTCCTGTACTAGTACGGACTCACGTCGTCAAACAGTACTAAGTATGAGGTCTATCAACCATTTAAACACATGTATATCCACCAGTACTGACTCAATTCGGTTTGCAATTCTTTTTCTCTGTATATGTATTTCCACGTTTTCCATATTCCTTCAACCCCTTTTATTTTATTGTTTACTCCGTTTATAGCTCATCGCATCGTTCTAGTTCGATCCGTTAAAAGTATTTGTTTTATGTTACGTTCTTGGTGGTTTTTCATCTTAGGCAGCCCCACTTTGGATCGTTTGTTCCTGTTGCATGAATCATAGTCAGTCCGTTTAGTCGACTTCATGGACCAAACGGTCCAGCCATTTTGAATTTTTCTCTCTCCCCGTCCGGGGTCAGACCGGTGGTCAAGACCTGGTCTGAACCCCAGTCAAGATCTCTTTTTTTTTCTGCCCAGACGTCAGACTGCTCGGTCTAGAGGCTGGACCGATCGGTCTGGACGCTGTTCTTCGTCTTCTTCATGATTAAGTTTTTAGATCCAACTTTTCTTGCAGATTTCGAGCCGTTTTCGATCCCAATTGATACCAATTCATTACTGACCCTCCCTAGGTCCTAAATCCTTGTAGAAACACTAATTTACACCATCACAACATGAGAAATGAAGTTCGCAAACTCAACTCAAACCACTCACCTTGGATTTCTGCAATATGTGATCTTGTTTGAGCTTGTGCGAGCTCTCTGGGTTTGTTTCACGATGTGAAACTTTCCAGAAATCCTCTATGCCCATCCCTCTAGGGTTCCTCGAGCTCTCCTTGCCTCGGTGTGTCCTCCAACTCTGTCTTTCTCTCTCTTTTTGAAATTTGCAGTTTTTGCTCGAAATATGGCTGAGGAGGAGCTTTGGGGTCGTATTTAGAGGCTCATGGACGAGCTAAAGGACAAGGAGGCTGGCCTGGGACGTAGCTGGTGCTTCCCACAACCGGTCGAGTAACAGCCAGACGTGCACAGGTCCATCAAGCATGAGAAAATCGCGTGCGAAAAGCATCGCTCGGAAAGCCTGGAGTGGTCCGCAGCATAGATCGACCGATTTCCAGCCTAGAACGATCGGTGCAGGTACTGATTCCGTGGTTTGCTCCATTTTTTCGGTTCGGTTTATCTTTCTCTTGGTTCGGTCGATCTGGCTCATGGACCGTCCGGTCCGGAGCCCTTAACATGTGCTTTCGTGTGATTTTTCATCCGTTTCAACTTATTCTGGGCCTGTTTATCTTTTAGTTCTCTATTTTCATCAATTGTCTTCCTTTTTAGACTTGATCTATCTTCTTTTATTCCTAAAAATAAATTAAATAATTTGTTCGGGATTCGGGGTATTACATTCATGTTGGCAGATATCAAGGAATCACACTTAGTAACCTTTAAAAGTGGGTAAAAACATAACTAAATTGACTTTCTTTTATAAGGAAGTCAAATCATATTATATATAAGAATTGCAAAGTTATCCCTGGTGAAGATTTTGTTGGTTTTCACTACGGGTTTCCTAGCATGTGATCACATCGATCTAGAATTGGTTTCTAGTTTCACGTAGCGGAAATATTAAACGAAACCTAGTCAAACATCACACGAAACCAAATGCACAAAAACCTGAAAGAACGTGTATATCATCGTAGGAATCGATTACTTACCTCTTTCTTGAAGACCTGAAAGTAGCAATCGATCCGGGCATGTTTTAATCACCAACACTACAAAAAAACACGAAAATGGTGACGCAAATTTTGCGTCACCAAAGGGCGATTTTGCGTCACCCTTTAAAAAGGGTGACGCAATAGTGACGCAAAAAAAGCGTCACCAATAGCACCGTCACCATTTGCAATTTCGTCACCAAGCGTCACCAATTGGTGACGCCAGGGTGACGCATACATTTCGTCACCATTTGGTGACGCAACGGTGACGCAATTGCGTAACTAAATAGTGACGCAATTGCGTAACCCAATCGTCACCAATTGGTGACGCAAAAACGTCACCAATTGCGTCACAAGATAGTGACGCAATTGCGTCAGTAATTATTGACGCGTTTTGGTGACGCAATTGCGTCATAAATTAGTGACGAAATTGCGTGAACAACTGCGTTACTATTTAGTGACGCAATGACGCAGTCGTCACCAAATTAGTGACGCAATTGCGTCACTAATATGCGTCACTATATCTGTCGTAATTGGCTTCATCGCCGTCGCCACCGCCACCGCCACCGCTTCCTTGTCCACTGCTTCCGAAGTTCGGAAATCCTCGGGTTTGGAACTCATTGAAAAATTCTGCTTGCATTCGTAGTTCTTCAATGAGTTTTCGATCTTCTTCTTGTCGACGCAAGAATTCCGCTTGTTGCCGAAGAAGTTCAGCTTGCTGCTCCTCTAATTGTCGCACTCGTCGTGCGAGTGAAAGCGTTTCCTGAGCAGTTGAAGGAGCATCTTCACCAGGATGATATGTGATATCGGTTTGCATTGAACCGAGACCGTATATCCGTCCAAATTTGTTCGGTGGAACAACCTATATAATAAAAATATAATTAGTTAATAATTTATTTTAAATTAAAATTGAATTGAAATTATTATAAATTTATTTATTTAAAAATTACCTGAAGATATATCTCATCAATTTTCTCCTTCGGCAAATTAGGTTCCGATGCAGAAGCTTCGCCTTGTGTTGGTTGCGACGCAATAATCTAAAATATTAAAAAACAATTAAAATTAAATATAAAATATTAACATTAAAAAAAA